TGTTCACTAAACATTAGCTATTATTATTACTGAAAAGGAGGTTATCAACTCACCCCTGTGTCCGTACTTTATTATGGATGTTCCAACTCAATTAGTGGGAATTAACATGAGAGGGAGAACGTTTTCCCGAGATATTAGTTATTGAACTTTCTATCAGAACTCTCTGGGATTACTTAGGTTATAATCTGCCAATGATCGCTGGGGCCTGTGAGAGATAAGGGAAGCATCTAATCAAGGTTTGGAGGTGGGAGATGGGGAATAGGTCTGGGAAGGCTTCCTGATGGGATGACACCTGAGCTGAGTCCTACTGTGGGACTAAAGGTTGGATGTGCAATACAGTGTGTGGGCAGCAGGGAAGCAGGTGTCGTGGCTCTTCCATGAAGACCTAGGCAAAGGTCTGAAGGTGTGACAGAAGTGGAGACATACATGGAACTGGGTATACTCCTATGGAGATTATGCTTGTATGGAAAAGATGGGAGAGGGGAGAGGGTTGGGTGCTGAGGCTGAAGAAGTCTGCAGGGGGCAGATCATTTAGGAAGGGCTCTGTGCATTTGTCTAAAGTGATCAGGTATTGGGGAACGCTTAAAGGGTTTTAAGCAGGAGACAGGACCAGTGTTGTGTTGTGAACAATCATTTGCAGTAGTCTATTTAGGGAATGCATTTAAGGAAAAGAGTCCAGAGGCAGAAGGGGCTTGTGCATGATTGTGGGTGAGAAATTATGGGCTCTCGGTCCACAGCAAAGGAAGAGATGGCTTTGAGGGATGTGTATGTGGTCCATTGGTTAGGTGACGAGGTCGGGGCAGGGACAGTGAAGACTAAGGATGGCCTGACGTCTCCTTCAAGTTTCTACCCTCACCAAAGGTAACTTCTCTATGAACATACCACAATTTGTTAGAGTTCTTTATTTATTTTGGGTTAAGTTATTTGTTTTAATATGATCTGGTTTATCACATTTTCTCTATGGTTAGTGATTTTTTGTGTCCTGTTTAAGAAATCTCTGCCTATTGCAAGGTGACATAGATATTTTTCTGTGTTTGATTCCAAAATTTTTGTTGTTCAATCTTTACCATGTAAATCTATAATACATCTGGAGTTGATTTTTGTGTACTGTATGACGTAGGATTCAAAATTTTTTTTTCCTGTGTGAATATCCACATGATTGAGCAGAATTGATTGAAAAGACCATGCTCTCCTCCGCTGCACTGTAGGATCAACTTTGTCATAAATCAGGTGACTATACATTCATGGGTCTATTCTGGACTTTATTCTGTTCCATTATCTATTTGTTTATT